TTAGTATGCACGCAGCCTGTGCACATGCCAAATCAAATCGGTCTACCATGACGCGTTAAGATAGGACCTAACAGAAACGTAAGGTAGTAGCAAAGCAGTCTTGCGTTTTAATTAAATATATGTAGTATCTGGTGGCAACGGCCTGCTTTTCGGTTAAATGCCATCGTTGTGGCTCAAAACACCAATTAGGATCGTGTTTCATGATCTGCCACACATGCCTTGCTTGTCGACTTAGCACACACATTGCTAACACTGTAAATACATAAAGCTAATGAACGCGTCTAGGCTCAACTTATAGGTATATCCATCCACTTCTAGATTTGATAGAAAATGTCAATGAACTATTTACATTAATGTACACTTGAGTAATATACAGATATTTTGACTAATGCCCTAGGAAGTTTGTCCTGTTTGACCTGTGAGTGCCACGCGGTAACTCGACTTTTTGGCGTGCCATACTGATCGAGAATTTAGTTGAAATAAGGTGCAAAACAGCGTTTGAATAGACACTTGAAACAAAATTTGACTATTGTCAAATTTCCTCTGATCCAAGATATCTTAGAGCGACTAAAGTGGTACTGGCCACAGCGTCTTCCTGAATCTTCCTGGTAATTTTGCGGTTGTTCCCTTTTTAAACCCTTTTTACACCCTGTTTTGCCTTTTTATTGTGGTAGTTTTACGGTTGTATACGTGTATTTAAATTCTGCTCTGTTTTCCACTTCAACCTGGTCGTGTCGCGAAAAACCGAGGCGGATGAGCCCCTTGCATCTTCGTTTGATGAGTCAAATATAGCTTGCAGCAATTCTGCCTGTTCAAGGCCAATCACGGATTCAACTGGTGGAGGCAATCCTTACACAGCTATCAGTGTGCTTTTCAGAAAGGTCAATGAATCCACTGCCGCTCTTCCCACCGAGCACATGCTTGATGATCTTGGTTACCTTAAAGTTTGCATGGCCAGGCTTTTACCACCAGGCTTCCCTGGCGTTACTGTCAGGAAAGTCATCAGATTGAGGAACGTTCCGGTTGGTCAACCAAATCCTCGATTCCATCGGCTTAAGGTGGTCCTCTCCATCCCAGAAGAGCGCAGGGCCTAACTGGGGTTTGACTTCCTGCTAAAAGGTCCCAACGTTAACTTGCAACCAGACCTTCCGTTAGCGGATATTTTAAAGGGAGCCATCAGCGACCTAAAAGCCCGGCGTGCAGCTGGCGAGCAAGGTCTCTGATTGGTGGGTTTTCAGGTGGTCAGCCGGCGGTCCTTTTCCGCCCTGCCAGAACCTATAGTACTTGCGCACGACCCAGGGCTGGTCGTGCCGAGGCCCTCCAAGTAGTACTTAGTAACGTGCGCAGCCTGAGGAACAAGATGTGCGAGGTGGGTCTGCTCGTAGACAAATCTCGTTCAGATATACTTGCCTTGCACTGAAACGTGGCTGTATGAGGAAATCGCAGATGGCGAAGTATGTCTGCCTGGCTACGCACTCTTCCGCGCTGACCGCTCAACTGGCCATCAAGGGAGTGGTGTAGCATTTATGTGAGGTATCACATCGAAGTATTGAGGACCAGCGTTTTTCAGTCTTTTGACAAATCCGTTGAGGCGCTCGCAGGCTGGATTTGCACTTCCTCGGTTCAGGTTACGGTTGTGTTAGTGTATAGAAGCTCTATGAGCACGTCCAATAGAATCATTGCGTTTATACTCACTCACTCTGCGAACAAGTGTCTGGTGTTGGGATGTTTCAACCTCCCGGAAGTTTGTTGGGAGGATCTATATTGCAGTTCAGCTATGGAATCGTTCGGTACCGAACTGATGGACTTGATGCTGCAGGTACCACTATACCAGTTCGTGGACCTCCCCACTAGGTACATGAGCAATCAGCAGCCGTCCATACTAGATCTTGTGTTTGCGAAGTCACTTGGCTGTGTAAATGACATTAAATGCGACTCGCCTCATGGCGCTAGCGATCACGATTGCATGTCTTTCCAGTGTGCTCTTATCAGGTCTTGCCAAGCTACTACCAGTTGGTATCCGAACAGTTGGGCCGCGGACTTCCAAGGGATGCGGTATAAAGCTAGGTCATCGTCTTGTGTGATATCTGAGACCAATACTGTTCACATGGCATGGGAAAAACTTAAGGCTCACCTCGTCGACATTTATGCACCTCACATCCCACTGGTGAAAAGTAGGGAATCGAGAGCGCAGACTCCGTGGATAGATGCCACGGGTAAGCGGTCTAGATGCTGGCGAACATACCGAACAGCTCCGTCGAACAGCACGTTTGACAAGTATCGGTTGGATCGAAATGAGTGCAAGCTGCATATGAGGTTGGCCCGGCTTCAGTATGAAAAGGGCTTGGCTAGTACTGCCTCGAAAAATCCCAAGAAATTCTTCGCTTACCTTAACCGACGCTGTGCTGCAAACTCATCCATACCACCATTGCTTCGAGGAGATGGGACCAATGCCTATAGCGACTATGACAAGGCTTGCGTGCTTGGTAAGCAGTACTCACGCGTCTTTGTCCGCGAAACAGATACGCCATGCAAAAATTAGCTTCAAGTGTCTCTGAGGACTGTTTTCTGGATGACATTCCTGTAACTGAGTCTCAAGTTCTCCGGTTGCTAGGAGAGGAAACGAAACTAAGGCTTCTGGACCAGCTTCTGTTCATCCAAATTTGTTGCACTAACTGACAATGGAACACAGTGGACCTCTGACTTGTGTGTTGTAGAAATCACTCAACAGCTGTATCTTGCTTACCGATTGAAAGGAGGCTGTTGTCTGCCCGATTTTCAAGTGCGGTGACAAAGACCTACTGGCTAACTACAGGCCTGTCAGCTTGACTAGCGTGGTCGTTAACTTACTTGAAAAATTAGAACTAAATACAGTGGCGAACCATTTAAATAGGTTTAGCCTGTTTGCTTTGAGTAACATAGTTTTTGCAAAGGATTTTCTTGTCAGAAGAACTTGCCGGTAGCTCGTGAGAGCTGCGCTGAAGCCGGAAACAGTGGACATGCGGTAGATGTGGTGTTCATTGACTTCGCCAAGACCTTTGACACTGTCCCCCATTCGCTACTCTCACTGAAGTTGAGGTCGTTTGGAATAGCTGGTCGCGCTCTCCATTGGGTGTCAGCTTTTCTGGATGGACGTGAAAAGTGCATTCGTGCAGGAACCTGTCTTTCGTTACGACAACCTGTACTTAGCGGCGTTCCGCAAGGCTCTGTCCTAGGTCCGCTGCATTTCTCAGTCTACGTGAATGACTTGCCGGAGGAGCGAGAAGTACCATCGCTCTTATTTGCTGCTGACCTAAAACTCTGGAATATTGTTGATATCCTTGGAGGTCCGGTGGCTCTTCGAGGGGCTCTGGATAGACTCTGGGAATGGTCTGTCTTGTGGTTGCTGCCCATAAACCGGGCAAAGGGTTCAGTGCTGCGTTCGGAGCGTCTGTTTCCTGCACAAGTTATGTGCTCTATGGGAGTGAACTTCTCACGTGGCCCCTCAGGTTGATCCAGGTGTCGTCCATTGTTCCACACTACACTCTGGCGACAACTGGAAGAAGGCAGCTAGTAAAGGGTTCCGGATGTTGTGGTTTATCCGTCGTTCTTTTGAGACCCTAACCGCCGATATGTTTGTGAAGCTTTTCACAGCGTTTGTGCGACCCCACCTAGAATATTGCGTCTAGGCCTGTCCATCATATCTTGTTCGGGACAAAATGGCAGTAAAAAGAGTGTTGTTTGTCGGTACTAGGTTGGTCAAGGGATTACGAGTGCAAACGTACCGGGAACGCCAACTTAGTTTTGGGATGCAGTCAATGCACTATCGAAGGATTAGAGGGGGCATAATCCTAATCTACCGCATTTTGATTGGGAAGGTTGGCCCTGATTTGTCCATGCTATTTAGTCCTGCTAGATTATCTAGTCTTCGCGGGCATTATATGAACCTGGACAAACCGCGGTCCGATCGAGTTAGAGCGGAGACGCGGTTATCGCGTCGAGTCATGGAGCGCTAGAACCCGCTTCCAGAAAAGGTTGTCAAGGAAGCTACGGTTAAGGGGTTCGAGCGTCAACTAGACGCTCTTGGGTAACAACACGATACCTTTCCTTTTTCTGACTAATTTCCATCTTCTTGTTTCGTTTCTATTTTCGTTACTTTTCCTCGCCATTGGTATTATTCTCCTCTTTTAACTGATTTCCCCTACTCTTTACCTTCGACTTTTAGTCCTCTCTTACTTACTTCACGTAACTGACAGCTGGGACAGCTGATGTAAGGAATCTGGGCATTAAATTGGTGGACCAGGGTGCTTTGCGGGTGTTTCCCTTTTAGACCATTAGGAAGTCGGAGCACCTCCATCAACTCCTGGATCGACGACCCGCACAAGAAGGAACACTTACGGGTTGCATCCTATCGTTCCAGTCCTACTTGAACTTGAAATTTAACCTGTCTTTCTTAGCTTTTTCAGGTGTGTAGAAAGGAATCGAAAGGTATATGCAAATATGAACGCATGAACATAGCTGGCTCACCTTTACTTTTCCGTTCTTTTTTTAATGACTCAACTATCTTGGTATTCCACTCGCTTAGCTCTTTCTACTTTCTCATTTGCCTTCTACGTTTACTTTTTTCTTTCTTACTTCACGTCACCGACCCAGCAGGGACTGCTAGGGCAGGATACGTGGGCATTAATTGGTTGGACAGGGTGTGATGCAGTCTTTGTTGTAGGTCCATTAGTACTTCAAAGTTCGCCAACACCTGGTTCAATGCCCCGCCGAAGAAAGGAACACTCACGCGATAATCCTATCATTCCAGTCCCGCTTGAACTTGAACTTGAACGCAGCTTGGAGTATCTTATAAATTTCACATTAGATGATGAGAAACAGACCGACAATTTTAGTGCATTGTATTTCAACGAAAGACAGTTTTTAAGGCACACTAGGCTCTATTTCTTCTAATTCTGCGGATGTCCGAAAGTGGGACGCCTTTTGCTTATTTCGTGCTACTCGCAGTCCTCCCAGCGCCGCTTTCCTTGCCGTGCACCGACCATCGTCGCTCTACGGTTTCTTTTTGTCTCCGTTGCCTTTCTGATTGCCTTATTCTCCTTAAGTGCACATACATACTAATACTACCGCGATCGGATTTCATAGGAGCGTTTTGGTGAGCATTTAAACGCTATTTAACTTCATTCGATGCGAGTAAAACGTTACACGCCATCGTCAGCGTGGTATGGTTGTCTTTCTTGTTTATGTGGATGCCACTATGCACTGGCTTCTTGGTTTCTTTATGAATAACTTTACCTACTGTTTCTCTTTATATCCCTTCACGCAACTGGCACAGCAGGAAACAAAGCGGTACTGAGCAGCAGCTCGTTGTAGTGGTGGAGAGCAGGAAGGAAATCCTGTGTCAGCTCCATCACAACTCGTTTAGGACAAGGATTGTGAGCAACGTTACGAGTCAGTTGCATAGGCGATCATTACGGTCGCAGCGAAAACAGCAAGATTTTGGTGAACCCAGCAGATATGAGTCCAACAACCGTTCGAAACTTCCTTTACTTTGTGCGCTAACTACCAGCTCAGGCACTGTTCCAGTTCTTTATCACAGGAGTATATAGGGTGAGGAGGGAATGGATCCGACCCCTGCTCGGTTTAATCAGTTTCCAAGAGTGACCCCGTGTCGAGCTATCAGCGCCGAACTGAAAGAACTGCAGTTCACTTCCCATCTCGCCTCGCAGTGTCCGTCTAGTGTAAATCAGATCCCCACGACTTCGATGGTAGTCCAAGGAAAACATGTTCATCTATTCAAGGTGTTGAGTGTGAGGTAGGTTCCGGAGCGCTGAGATAGATATCCATCCGTCACTGGACTTTCAATCCATTGAATTGCAGAAAGCAGAAGGGATCCCTTGTCAGCTTCCTCACATTCCGGTTAGGTCAGGTCAGATTTTCGTGGTCGTAACAGGCTTTCACCTAACGAGCGTCCCGTTTCGTGTGCCAATAACCAAGCCAATACCCTCGACATTTCGACGTTCGAGCTTTACTTCTGCAGAGAAAAAAGTACAAGGAACGTCTCCTAACTGTGTGAAATCATACGTGACATCCTGTTAGTACTAATTGAAATCCACTAATCTCAGTGCAGTTCCGGAAACAGAGTGGACCAATTCATATCTAGGCCTCTTTTAAAGACTTCTATAGTATTACCTTCCCCTAGTGCAGGGGGATAGGGAATTTCAGCGACGTACTACGCGGTTATTGAAAAATTGCCCAGATATCCAGTTTGGATCTATGCGTCATGAGCTTCAGATGGTCCGACGTAGCCAGTCCAAAGAGTCGGTAGGCTTAACGCCACTGAGACCCTACATAATCTCCGTTTCTATCAGGTCTCCCCTTCATCTACTTCGTTCCAATGAGAACAAGCCTAAACAATCCAGGCGGTCAACATACGACTACTCACGCTGGACCTCAGTCACCATTGTGGCCAGTATTTGTACCTTCTCTAGGTAAGTGACATCTTTTCGAAAGTGAGGTGCCCAAGCCTGGGCACAACACTCTAAGTGCGGCCGAATCTCCGCTTTGTACAATGGGAGAAAGACCAGGTTTAGTATTACAGAATGCTCTCTTGAGGCAGTATAGTTCCTTCCGCGCTCTGTTAGCAGCATATTCGCACTGCTCCCAAGGTCTGAAGCTATCTACCATAACGATGCTCAAATCCCTTATCTACACACTACCATGTCAGACCCAGTGGATGTCTGCACCGTAATCCCAACATTACTGGATGATAACAGCTGACATTTGTTCTTGTTAATGGCAAGTCCCATGATTCAAACCACTTTGTCACAGTGCCAAGATCTTTAGATAACGTATCCCTATCTCCCCTACTGACAAGCTTTACGTCATCCGCCAAAGCATAACAGGGTTTCTTGAGCTGTCGAGCTAGATCATTTTAAACACAGGAAACAACAAGGGTCCTAGCACTGAACCTTGGGTGACTCCGCTGTGGGAAGTGTCCATGCTAGATCTGACCTCACTAATTATGACACTGAACTTTCTGCTACAGAGCAAATCCAACAACCAAGTTATCAGCTTAGAATACAGCCCAAACCAAATCAGCTTATCCAATAAAAAGCGATGATTAACCGAGTCAAATGTTTACTAAAGTCCAGGTAGCAGACCTTCACTGGAATCCCGACATCGAGACATTGAGTTATCTCGTCCAAGAAACACGAAACAAGACTTCTTTCTAACGAAGCCATGCTGTTCCGCTCCAATCAAGTTGTTAACAACTAAGTGCTCACAAATTCGATGCCTAATGAGCTTCTCCAGGCACTTAAGCATAATACTTGTCATACTGACGGACCTATAGTTGTGTGGCGCAGACTTGGAGTCCCTCCTATGAATTGCCACAACAGTCGCTTCTTTCCAGTCATGTAGTAGTCTACCTTCCCGAAGAGAGCAGTTGTATAAGTCCAAAACAGAACACTGGGGAATATCAGCGAGCGGTCTAACAATAGCTGAATGTCAGAGCCTGCCGATTTATAGAGGTTTAAGCCAGCCAACATGTCGAGGACCGCTGATGCGGTCATTACAATTTGCATTTCTACGTCACACAAGAAGTGTGACTGCGAGGGGATTGCATATCCACGGTCCACGGCGCAATAGCATCTCCGCCTTATCTGCATCTTCCACAACCTCACTACCATTTTCCGTATTAAAGTTACCTATGCATGACGTTGAGAAACGGCATTCACTATTGACCGTTATAGCTGCAACGAAAGCAAGATGATTCCGGCATACGCAGCAAATGGAGGTCCAACAGCCTCTTAAAACTCCACTGAACACGTTAATGACGGGCTCCGGCAAAGTTCCAGTTCACCCCCCGAGTGGATAGAGCAACCACCGGAAGGACACAGAGATTCCTCGGCTTAAACAACTTCCAATTTTGTCCTCGCATCAGGCTTTCAGTGCTCACCTGTAAGAATTATTACAACTCGGTTCCCGGTTCTCCTCTAAGAATACGCCTGGTGTAAATCAGGTCGTACCGGCGACGACGATAATCCAAAGCGAACGGATTCATCTGTTGTAGGCGATCAGGGTAGGGCGTATCACCTAGAGCCGAGACCGATTTGGAACCACGCCTCTGTATTCTTTCAAGTATGTTGCATCCAAACTTCGGGAGCAGATAAACAGCCGGTAAGCCATACTCAAGAATAAGCCTCACTAGACAAACAGGAGTTTTAAGATCTCCAGGGACAATCGAGAACAAGATCTTATGGCGCTGAACATCCTATTAGCTGCACTGACTTTCCTCAAAGTATCCTGCGTTGTCTTAAGATCGGGAGACAATAGTGCCTAGGTCCTTCGCTACAGGTATTCGTAGGCAGACAACCGCCAACACAGTATGTGCTGAAGGGTTCAGGTTCACTAATTGGGAGATAATACTTGTCACCGTTAATGGGCAAATCCCATATAATCGACCAGTCGTCAAGTGTCAAATGTTGACTGTATTCTGTCGGCATCATCGAGGCCAGAAACCTCTAACCATAGTTTCAGATCATCAGCATAGATTAGACACTCCACCTGAAGTACCGAGGGAGGGTCATTGATGAAGATTTTGAACAATTTCGGACCAAGGACCGAACCCTGTGGCACATCACTGGTCATCAGTAAAAGCTGGGAAATTGCTGCATTCACTGACTCTCATTGCACGACTGTGCGAGAAATCCGCGATCCAAGTGAAAATATCCCCCGTGACACCAATAGCCCGAAGCTTAAGGGGGAGTGGTTCACGTGGTACCATATCAAACGCCTTACTGAATTCGACGCAAATAACCCCCAAACGTCCACCAACGTCCGAAGCTTTTGCCCATCTTTCTCTAGCGATATGCGGGTTGGAAACGCGAGAACGAGCCCTCTGGAACCCACACTGAGTAGTGCAAATCAGATTCAGGACATCCAAGTGACGCTGTAGAGAACGTTTCGCAAGCCTCTCCATGACTTTACAAATAATCGACGTCAGCCAAATCGGGCGGTAGTTAGAAGGCTCTTGTCCGTTCCCACCTTTGTAAATTGGCTTGATGACACCAACTTTCCAGTCAGATGGAAGGCGACCAGTTACCAAGGAGAGCCGAAAAGTATGACTTACACGGCTTGCAGTATGCCCGGATGCAAAACATCTGGACCAGGAGACGAGTTGGTATCTACTTCATGGAGGAGCCTCAGTACCCTGTCCACGTTTATCTCACCAAATCCGAAAGGAGACAGATGCGAATGGACAATAGAACAGGACAGCGGGGGTCTCCATCGTATAGACGGAGGAGTACTGTTTGGCAAGAAGATCAGCTTTCGCATCATCATCGTCAAGTACATCTGCCATCCGGGAGAAGAACAAGGCGGGGACACAATTGCCAGCTTTGGTAGTCCGTTTCAGATACGAAAGAGTTTATTGGGACATGCTAAAGATTGTGCACCCAAACCGCACTCATGCTTCTGGCTCTTCTCACCTTTTTTGCGGTACAAAGGTTCATGGCGGCTTTGTAATCAGAATAAGCAGAAGTCGATTGTTCAATCTTGAGTTTATCACATAACCGTCTTTTTTCAACGAAGATCGTAGTTCAACATCGATCCTACGGGGACCTCTAGAAATTTGTCTTCGCAAGACTGGGACAAGCTTATCAATGGGCATGGTTGCCTTGGTGCGGTAGTAAATCCAGGCATCCTCCAGCCCTAAGTGTTCAGGGACGCTCCAATCGACTGCACTCGCAGCAGCTTTTATGCGGCCTGGATCGGCACGACAGAAATTTCGGGAGTACACTTCTTGGCTATGAACGGTGAGACGTCGTGCCTACAAGAAAGTGACTACGCAGTGGTTGCTTTTGCCCAGCGGCTGTAGAACAGATAATCCATTGACATCAGAGGACGCCGGTGTAAGCACTAGGTCAAGGATATGAGGAGACTGTCTTGGGAGAATTCGCGTAGGATCTGTAACAAACTGAGTCAGGTTTATTTCCAGGACGGATTCGAGGAAAGCGTAGTCAAAAGATTCGACAGAGAGCCCACAGTGAAGGTGTTCTTCATCGATACTGGGGGCATTGAAGTCACCCATAATAAGACAGTCACTTCCGCTTCCATACTTGCTGAGTCCTGTATGTGCTACCGATTATATGC